ATATTTTGTCGTGCAAATTGGTGAATTTGACTTATTTTATGTTTCAGCATATCTGTATAACTGTCACTATCATATTGATCTGTGTTTTGTTCAGGGATTCCCACTACTGCATTTAAAGGTAGTGTCACTTCACGACCAAATAACATTTTATTTGGTGATACTTTAGTTGAGCTGTGCTCAGAACTTCGGTAGGCCATCATCACCAATGGTAGGTAATCATCCCAACTTGACTGATCTTTCGAACAGTATGCGGTTAACATGGATAGTATCGTACGGTTACTTCTTTCTATAAGGCCATTGGCTTGTGGTCTTAGACTTGTCGTACGCGTCTTTTCTATACCAAGGAAATCGCAAAGCTCCATTATCAATTGCGACTCAAAATTTCTGCCTTGATCTGTGTACAATTGTAGTGGTACACCAAACCTTACAACAAAATTATTTACAAATGCTTCAGCAACAGTTCTAGCATCCTGGTTTGGTATTGGGACACTTTCGGTCCATTTTGTGAACCAGTCTGCAATTACTAATATATATTTGTTTCCATTTTTAGAAACCGGAAGTGGACCCAAAATATCCATGGCAACCCTTTCCATAGGCATGCCTACAATATACTGTCCTAATGGTGCTTTATTATTTTCTTTTGACAATTTTCGTGCTGTGCATGTATCACAGGCCTTACAATAGAGCTTAATACTATCTGCAACACCAGGCCAGTAGAAACCTTGTCTGACCTTATATAATGTCTTTTCAAACCCAAGATGTCCAGATGTCGGAATATCATGACTGAAATTAATCACATCTTTCTGCCTCGATTTAGGTACAACAAGCTGCCAACCGACTAAACCAGATTCGTCTACATATTTTCGATACAGCATTTGACCGCGAACATTCAATCGGTCCCACTGACGCCAAAGAGTCTTCAGGAATGATGTGCCGCTAGACACTGTGGACCAACTTGGTCTCGATTCATTTTCCAATTTAGCGGAAAATAATGGACCAATATCAGAATCGGACATTTGTTCGGTCTTTATTTCTAAGGCGCTCCAACCATCAAGGTTAATTTGATGGGGTAGAATATCATCGTCAACGGCATTTGCAACTTCTTGCCGAGTTGTAACTCTTGATACTTTCTCACTTGGTTTCTCTATATCTTCATCATTTTTATTTTCAGCTGTTTCTGTTACATGTTCTTCATTTATTTGCTGCTGTCTGGCACAATTTCTGCAAGGGATTCGCGATAATGCATCTGCATTACTATGACATTTACCTGGTCTGTGTACCACCACTAGATTATAAGTGCCTAGCTCCTGTAACCAACGCGCGGTTTGACCTGTTGGAGCTTTTAGACTACGCATCCAACTTACAGCAGAATTATCGGTTCTAAGTAGGACTTCTTGACCATACAAGTATGAATGAAAATTTTTCAGTGCTACAATCACAGCAAGTAACTCTTTCTTGTTATACAGTATTGTTGCTCGTGTATATTCATGGCTTTACTCATGTAAGCAATTACACGTTCTTTACCATCTTGTTCTTGTGACAAGATTGCGCCAACCGATTTATCACTCGCGTCTGTATCGAGAATGAATTTACAATCCATTTTAGGATACGCTAAGACAGGTGCTGTTATTAATGCTTGTTTAAGGGTATCAAATGCATTTTGACACTCTGTTGTCCAAATAAATTTTGCTTTCTTTTCACAGAGCTGATGAAGTGGACGTGCAACACTTGCAAAACCTTGAACAAATTTGCGATAATAGGATGCTAGACCCAAGAAACTTCGGACTTGTTTTGCATTAACTGGTATTGGCTAATTCTTGACAACCTCGATTTTACTTTCATCTGTATGGATACCATCTTCAGAAAACTGTGTGTCCCAGAAATGTTACTGATTTTTGGAAAAAATATGCATTTAGAAGACTTTAATTTCAGATTAGCATCTTGAAGTCTGGAAAAGACATTTTCTAACCTTTTCAAACATTCATCCACAGACTGACCTGGAGTGATGATGTCGTCCATATAAAGAAGTGATTCGACCCACTGGATACCTCTAAGAATATCAGACATGACACGCTGGAATGTTGAAGGTGCATTCACAAGACCAAACGGCATAACACGAAAATGATACAATGCATCAGATGTTGAGAAAGCTGTTTTAAGCTTGTCGTCTGGATCCATTTCAATCTGCCAAACCCCGAACAAAGGTCCATGCAGTTGAACCACTTGGCACCGGCCAATGCATCTAGACATTCATCTAACCTTGGAAGGGGATATGCATCTTTTATGGTTACCTCATTAAGCTTCCTATAGTCAACACAGAATCTGGTAGAACCATCTTTCTTGGTAACAAGGACTATCGGTGACGACCAGGGGCTGTTAGATGGTTCAATAATACCTTTTGCTAACATTCGCTCAATTTCATCTTTTTCACCTTGACGTTTATTGAATGGTTGTCGCCTAGGTTGTTTGTCTTATTGGTACCGCATTGCCTGTATTAATTTTGTGTTTGACTCGATTTGTACAACCCAGATCATCTGTGGATGACACAAATATATCTTTATACTTGAACAGAAGCATCTCTAGTCGCTGCTTATCGGTATCATCTAAATAGACAGAACTTCGATTTAGTAAGTCCTGTAAATGGTCTTGTAACTTACCATCCACATTATCTGTATGACCTTCGGCAGATATTTTGGCACATCTATGAACACTGTCTTGGTTTTCATCATTTTCATATTTTTCTTCATATGAAGACTTACAGCTACCTATATTCAAACCTTTATGAAGTGTTACACTATCATCACTGTCATTTATATTACACCAATACCAATTTCTGCTTTGCAAGGATCAACCACTCCTTCGATTATTTTTATACCTTTATTTGCTTGAACACCTACGTCATTTTCAATAAAACCAGACTTGGAAAGTTTATCGCTGCTTGGTATTCTGACTTTAACATATGCGATTGATCGAGACTCTACCTCAACGCTTTCCATAACAATAACACGACATACCGTTTCAGCTTCACCACTTGTAAAACACTGTATGTTTTCTCCAGTACGCAATCGTAATTTTAAAGCATCCATATCCCAGTTTCGAACATGTTTCAAAATAAAATCTTGTAAACAGCAAATTATTATATCAACAAACAACAAACTTTAGAACAGCATTATATTATAATGAATTTGTCAATCAAAATATCAAACATTTTATGTTTTACACGAAACATGACATGTTACTTCAAAATTCTTGTTTGATAGGTAACAATAACATCACATGTATTTATCGTTCAAAGTTGTACATGTATTCACTTTTTTTATACTTAAATCTTATTGTCAATCATTGTATGTAATTACTTATAAATCAACACATCACATAATGCACTAGACCTCTAATTCAATATTGTTTTCCTTCATCACTTTGCTTCGCATAAGTTCATTTAGAATGATTTTTTTTATTTTTTTTTATTTTACACTTAACTTACTGACCTCACAAAAGTCATACTATAGTACCATGCAAAATATATATGATATAAGAGTGATAATTCCAACACCTCACTTGTCTTTCCGTAGAACAACACTACAGTACACAAGCATGATAAAACATCACATTGAATACATCACATTGATTAGATATTTAATATACTTCACTATTATTCGTTCAACCACACTTTTTATAACTTTACTTATTACTCTATCTCTTTATAATCCTTGATTCATATAAAAAAATCTGCTTAAAAACACATGTAGACCAAGGACACTCACACTAAGAAATTTTCATAATAGTAAACTTATTAGCCTTAGAAGAACACCTTTTAATGAATGCTGAATTATACACACAATTGAAATATTTAATATGTTACACAATAGTTTAAATTCACCTGTGTTTTTTTTTCTTTTCATCACTATTTAAGAAATTTAATGTTATTTTTCACTTTTTTTTTTTTCTTCCATGATATATATCTGATATAACTATTTTTGTCAATTGATGACAAGTCTCAGTGGTATTTCTATTTTTTCAAGATCAAAAAATGGTTTTGATTGAGCCTTTTTTACTGATTCAAGGGTTTGAATCTGGTCCTCCTCAGCCTTCGACGGAACTCGTCCTGATCCAATTTCACGTACCATCTGATATGTATAAAATCTTGCTCTTGTCACAGCAGTTTCAGATTCTTCTTTTTGATATTTGGCTGTGCCAGGTAGAGCTAAAAAGTTATATTTGTCTAATAAATAAGACCTTGATACGTTTGTTGGGTAAAATGCCTGCTGTTTCATTTTCCAGGAACAAAGCTGCCTGTTCCCATGCCAACAGCTTCCTATCTGGGCTCATTAATGTAAAACCCTTGGGAGGCCAGCTAAATTGTTTGCCATTGATTTCCGTTTCAAATGTACCGGATGAATCCCAATTCCTCCTTCCTGGCGGGCAGAGTGGCATAACGCCCGTTTTTTAAAAGATTTATAGCCCTGTCTTGGTATGCAGATTTTCTTTCATTGAACTCTGGAGAAGGCAATGTCTCATGCATCTTGTCTATTTCAGTTTCAGTATATGTGCCTTGGTTATTTACTGTTGGTACAATTAATCTCCTCCAACCAAATGGGGTTTTTGTAAGTTTTAGACGTTTCTGTTCATTAGTTGCTTCATCTTCTAATTCGGTATCACTTCCGTTTTCAATAATCTTATGTTCTGTTTTGTCAGATTTTAATGTTAAGTCAAAGGCACCTTGATGTGAATTGTTTTCAAGTTGATTTTCTTCGATTTCTTTAATGTCTTCATTTTTACTTTCCTTCACCTCTAGTCTTCTGTTTTCTCCATTGTTTTGAGACATTTGTGTTTTCGCATTTTGTGTTCTCGAAAGGTCAAGGGACTCTGTTCACATTGATTGTTATTATTTGTGTTTAACTGATTTTCTGTTGAATTATTATCAAACTTGTGTGTAATTAAACTAGGCAGTATTATTGACTCTTGAGGAGTTTCTTTTTGATTTTGTCAAAGGACTAGTTTCATTTTGTTTGGAATGCATGTTTTGGTCTTTTTGTGTCATTGGTAATTGTGTTGCTGTATATTTCTTTAACTTCTGTGCTTGGTTTAACCTCTTCAGCTTCCCTCTTTCTCTTTTTGTTTTCTTTCTCCTCTTTGCCATTTTCAAGTTCATTTATTCTACTTTGCAACCCAGCTTTCCAACCTTTTCTTATGTTGTCCCTCAGAGCCGGGTTGAAATGCTGTTTTTCCACCCATTGCATCATTATCCTCCTTGCATCCATAGCAATGGAGGACTCAAACAGTTGTGGCTTTATTAGTCTGGCATAGTCTTGAGGGTATACCGCAAAATAAAAACAGTTATTCAGACTTAGAAACATTTTTGGCAAACAATTAACTTCTACAAAATGTCTGCTGTTGCAATGTTTATTCAGATCAGTCACTCTTGTGAATGTCTTTTCAGTTGGGCACCATGGGCAATACACAGACTGCCTTCTGTGTTCCTTTGATATCACATGGTTGTACAAGTCAGTTCGACTATTGAACTCTTTTGGACACAACCAACACTTCTCCATTTTGTCTGTAAAATAATTTATCATTTAGAAATATATGTAATGATCAGTAAAAGTATTGCAGCAATACAAGTACGTCAAAATTTCACAATTTCATGATTACAGTGAGCAGCGATTACCGTTTGCACATATAACCCCTTTTTCTTTTTATTTTTGTTTTGTTTAATGTACATAGTTAATTTACATTTTATTACATTTATCTGTATACTGTATAAGCTGGTCTTATCATTTTCTATTAACATTTATTGTTTGATAAAAATTGTTGCTATTGTTACTAAGATTGCAGTTTTGTGTAGTTACATGTAGAACACTATAATTTATTTATTTATTTATTTATCTTGTAATACCGTTTGTGGTAGTTGATTATTTTTTTTATATTTATGCTCCGTTAAATGACAAGCATAAATTAAGGTTGGTAATTTAAAACTCAAAAAAAAACAACACATACTACACATCATAATGTTATTTACTTTTCACTTGTCACTTGTCAGGATCACTTTTAAGGCTACTGAAGTTAAATGGTACGGTAATTTACCATAAAACTTAATCAGTGGAAAAGAATATAAACACTTGAAAATACCAAAACGCTCAAGTACAGTTAATCTTATTTATTAAGATCTTCTGTTAAATAAATGCATAAAACAGGATAATTAAATACTGTAAAACAAGTAAATTAATGCCCTTGGTATAGTTATTGTAGATCTAATCAGTTCGTCAATGTAAAGTTGTTAAAGAAGGGGTTATATGAACGTCTTTCGCGTAAATTACAGTAAAAGTCTTCTAGCGGAATATTTATTTAGCGGAATGTTCAAGTTTTGACGGATTTCCGTTGTTTGGCGGATTTTTAGTTAGGGTTGAGCTACTGTTCAAATAATAACCTTGTTAGTCCGTGTTTCACGGTTGGAAAAGCTGCTCAACTGAATTGAGCGTCTGTATTTATAGACTTTGGCGTGGTAATTCCGAAATGAAATTTGCCCGCCGCTAAAACATTCAAAAGTACTCTTATCCAATAAGATTCGACAACGGAATTAGTTAACCAATCACAGCGTTCCGCTAAACATAGCACAGTCATGGCTCATACGCCGTTAGACAAAACAGATCCGTCAAGGATACGCTAAAATGTTATTATTCTTTTATAGAATAATAAAGACATAAAATATCGACAGATTTTTATATGATAGTCACTCTTTTTTTCCAAAACATGATTATGGTAGTTTCGTTGCATTACAGTACTTTCTCGGAATTTGGCCGGATATGGAACTTATTTCCGCTGAATCCGTCAGCTAGAAAATGTAAATAACACACATCTGTGTTCTAGTGACACTTTTAGTGTATACTTTCTGCATCTATTGTAATGGAATAATAGTTCAGGTATATTTCTACATATCTGATCGTTATTATTGTTATTCTTTGGTCAGTTGAGTATCTACGCTCAATTGTCAGGTTATTTCGCGACCCGGATCATGTTCACAGTTCTGAACGATATTTCAATGGTTCTTTAACTCGAAACATTGAATATTTATACTGTCTACTGTCATATATATAGTTGATAAACAACCACACTAATCACGGAAATGACAGAGCAGAATTCACGTAAAGGAAAGGTAAAATCTCGTCACACTGTCAAATTGTTTACATGTCTATCCATAACACTTCCCCCTCCTTATTTAAAAGAATATCCTCCTGGATAATGTTACTAATGAAAATGTTTTTACTAATGTCATACCAAGGGCTACGAAATTTAAATTAAATTATTTATAAACAATATCAACAAACAATATTTTAGAACACCAATGCATTATTTTTCATAAATCTGTCAATAAAAATATCTCTTATAGTTTATGCTCTAGGTTATTTTAAGAGTTTTCTATTAAAGTCGCACAACTGTCACATGTATTTTCTTTCTTTAAAAGATATTTTGTGCACTATGAAATAAATAAAACATTAAGATTAACAACGAAAACATTTAAAATGACACAATGTACATGTAGTACACATCACGCAACACATGACAGTGTAATTCATGTTTTTCACTTTTCACACATTATAACTGGATTAAATAACACTTTATTTTGTCTATGGCCACTCATTTAAGTTGTTTTCTAAAGTCATTCACATTAACATTCATCATATTTTGTTGCTTCACTTATTCACATATAACTCAATATAACCATCTGACTTCACTTAATCATTTTTATCTCAATATAACCATCTGACTTCACTTAATCACTTTTATCACAATATAACCATCAGTTCTGACTTCACTTAATTACATATAACTCCATATAACCATCTGACTTCACTTTATTACATAAAACTCAATATAACCGTCTTGACACTTGTCACACACATAACATTTGACACGCACTTCACAATGTAATTGTATTAAATAGCTTTAGAATGAATTTTATAAATCGCATAACATTACTAATCACAAAATACAAAACATGTAGTATTTTCACTTCAACAATGATTTTTGTATACATTTTTTTTTTGTATACATTTAATTAATTTCACTCTGTTAATCACTGTTTTGGGAACTGACTACTTCCTTCCTTATCCACATGGGGATATTCTTACCCGAATATGGCCACAATCTGTCAATGTGATAGGCTTTTGCTTTTTGTTTGCTGGAACGTTTAACACAACATATCAAATCATCAAGAACACTTGTAATTATGTAGGGACCTTTCCATTTATTGATCAATTTTGAACATATTCCCTTCTTTCTTGTTGGATCATGTAGCCATACTAATTGACCTTTATGATATCGTCTTTGTTTGGCATTTGTATCATAATGTCTCTTTTGGTAATTTGCGACACGACCAATATTTTGTCGTGCAAATTGGTGAATTTGACTTATTTTATGTTTCAGCATATCTGTATAACTGTCACTATCATATTGATCTGTGTTTTGTTCAGGGATTCCCACTACTGCATTTAAAGGTAGTGTCACTTCACGACCAAATAACATTTTATTTGGTGATACTTTAGTTGAGCTGTGCTCAGAACTTCGGTAGGCCATCATCACCAATGGTAGGTAATCATCCCAACTTGACTGATCTTTCGAACAGTATGCGGTTAACATGGATAGTATCGTACGGTTACTTCTTTCTATAAGGCCATTGGCTTGTGGTCTTAGACTTGTCGTACGCGTCTTTTCTATACCAAGGAAATCGCAAAGCTCCATTATCAATTGCGACTCAAAATTTCTGCCTTGATCTGTGTACAATTGTAGTGGTACACCAAACCTTACAACAAAATTATTTACAAATGCTTCAGCAACAGTTCTAGCATCCTGGTTTGGTATTGGAACACTTTCGGTCCATTTTGTGAACCAGTCTGCCATTACTAATATATATTTGTTTCCATTTTTAGAAACCGGAAGTGGACCCAAAATATCCGTGGCAACCCTTTCCATAGGCATGCCTACAATATACTGTCCCAATGGTGCTTTATTATTTTCTTTTGACAATTTTCGTGCTGTGCATGTATCACAGGCCTTACAATACAGCTTAATACTATCTGCAACACCAGGCCAGTAGAAACCTTGTCTGACCTTATATAATGTCTTTTCAAACCCAAGATGTCCAGATGTCGGAATATCATGACTGAAATTAATCACATCTTTCTGCCTCGATTTAGGTACAACAAGCTGCCAACCGACTAAACCAGATTCGTCTACATATTTTCGATACAGCATTTGACCGCGAACATTCAATCGGTCCCACTGACGCCAAAGAGTCTTCAGGAATGATGTGCCGCTAGACACCGTAGACCAACTTGGTCTCGATTCATTTTCCAATTTAGCGGAAAATAATGGACCAATATCAGGATCTGACATTTGTTCGGTCTTTATTTCTAAGGCGCTCCAACCATCAAGGTTAATTTGATGGGGTAGTATGTCATCGTCAATGGCTTTTGCAACTTCTTGCCGAGTTGTAACTCTTGATACTTTCTCACTTGGTTTCTCTATATCTTCATCATTTTTATTTTCAGCTGTTTCTGTTACATGTTCTTCATTTATTTGCTGCTGTCTGGCACAATTTCTGCAAGGGATTCGCGATAATGCATCTGCATTACTATGACATTTACCTGGTCTGTGTACCACCACTAGATTATAAGTGCCTAGCTCCTGTAACCAACGCGCGGTTTGACCTGTTGGAGCTTTTAGACTACGCATCCAACTTACAGCAGAATTATCGGTTCTAAGTAGGACTTCTTGACCATACAAGTATGAATGAAAATTTTTCAATGCTACAATCACAGCAAGTAACTCTTTTCTTGTTATACAGTATTGTTGCTCGTGTATATTCATGGCTTTACTCATGTAAGCAATTACACGTTCTTTACCGTCTTGTTCTTGTGACAAGATTGCGCCAACCGATTTATCACTCGCGTCTGTATCGAGAATGAATTTACAATCCATTTTAGGAAAAGCTAAGACAGGTGCTGTTATTAATGCTTGTTTAAGGGTATCAAATGCATTTTGACACTCTGTTGTCCAAACAAATTTAGCTTTCTTTTCACAGAGCTGATGAAGTGGACGTGCAACACTTGCGAAACCTTGAACAAATTTGCGATAATAGGATGCTAGACCAAAGAAACTTCGGACTTGTTTTGCGTTAACTGGTGTTGGCCAATTCTTGACAACCTCAATTTTACTTTCATCTGTATGGATACCATCTTCAGAAACTGTGTGTCCCAGAAATGTTACTGATTTTTGGAAAAATATGCATTTAGAAGACTTTAATTTCAGATTAGCATCTTGAAGTCTGGAAAAGACATTTTCTAACCGTTTTAAACATTCATCTACAGACTGACCTGGAGTGATGATGTCGTCCATATAAAGAAGTGATTCGACCCACTGGATACCTCTAAGAATATCAGACATGACACGCTGGAATGTTGAAGGTGCATTCACAAGACCAAACGGCATAACACGAAAATGATACAATGCATCAGATGTTGAGAAAGCTGTTTTAAGCTTGTCGTCTGGATCCATTTCAATCTGCCAAAACCCCGAACAAAGGTCCATGCAGTTGAACCACTTGGCACCGGCCAATGCATCTAGACATTCATCTACCCTTGGAAGGGGATATGCATCTTTTATGGTTACCTCATTAAGCTTTCTATAGTCAACACAGAATCTGGTAGAACCATCTTTCTTGGTAACAAGGACTATCGGTGACGACCAGGGGCTGTTAGATGGTTCGATAATACCTTTTGCTAACATTCGCTCAATTTCATCTTTTTCGCCTTGACGTTTATTGAATGGTTGTCGCCTAGGTTGTTGTCTTATTGGTACCGCATTGCCTGTATTAATTTTGTGTTTGACTCGATTTGTACAACCCAAATCATCTGTGGATGACACAAATATATCTTTATACTTGAACAGAAGCATCTCTAGTCGCTGCTTATAGGTATCATCTAAATAGACAGAACTTCGATTTAGTAAGTCATGTAAATGATC